TTTCCATGTAATCTGCTTTAGCAAAAGCAAGAAGTAAGTTTGGATCACCAAACAATAATGTAAAATTTAATCGTCAGCAATGGAAAAAGAAAAGATTCTAAGGAGCACTATAAATAGCATCATATAAGCTGTAATAGGTATTGAGCATTTGAATATCCAAATACCTTACTTGAAAGCCTTCTACTGTGCATCTATAAACATCCTTCAAGAGGAAAGGGAACTTTCCCTTTCTTTTCTCAGAAATAAAATCATGTTTTAGAATAATTCTTGTGTTTCTATCCTTCTTTATTTCTATCATAAAATAAAATGACAAGAATCCTAAAGAAACTGAGGCTAATGTGAAGTCACTTGTCATGTCCAGATACCCATTATAACTTGAGTTTGGCATTAAGGGTTGGATGAAGGAAGCATTTGCTTGACTAAAGGCTAGTCCAAAGGATTTTCAGGTAAAATTTTAACTCATTTATTTTATCATGCAAAAGCAAGGTGGGCATAGAAACAACTTTATTATTCTTTAACATTAGATTATTTTTGAGATGACAAATGATGGGGAAGTAGTACCTGACCTCTTATATTTTGAATAGAAAAATCCATTTTATATTAAACCATTATAATTTAAGATGCTTGATTTTATTCAAGAAATTGCTGTAGATAAGATAGTTTATGAGCAGCAATACAAATATTATAGAGATAAGATATTAAAAATTTTAGAAAAACTAAGTAATATTGAAGATGAATATCATCTATCTTAGAACCTCAAACAGTTGAAGCAAACAGTTGCAGATTTAAATGAAGATCTAAAAATATTAAAAAATTCCAAGTAAAGATTATCTTTGTTAGTAGTCTAGTAGATCTAATTCTACGCTTACTAAGCTTAACATACCAGCTATTCATTAGTCAGTAGTAGTCTGAGTTAAATTCTGAAAACCCGTAGAAAAATCTTGTATCAAAGCCAAGAAACAATAATTTTAAGTATAAAAGCTATTTTTACAACAAATATAAATTTGAAGACTAAAAGATCAAAACAAATATAGTAGAGGACTAACTATTCTCTAATAGAATAGGAAGTTTTCTGTCAAAGATAACAAACTAGATGAAATTGAAATGAATCTGAAAGATAGTGGACAGGATTGGAAGAATCCAAAGATAATAGACGAAACTAAAAAAAATATGAAAATTAGTAGATGATTTGTTAAATGAAGACAATAGATCGCAATAATAATCACATTTAAAAAATAATTGAAAAGAAAAAAATGTACTAGAAAGAAAAAGTTAGGTCATGTGTTAAAAAAAAAAAGTAAATTAAAGAAGACATACAAATATGACATGTGACAAATTAAACTTTTCCCCTTAATGGTTTCTCATTTAGAATATATATATAGATGTTAAGTACTCATTAATTTTAACTAAATAAATATTAAAATTACAAAAACAAAAATGAACAAAATTCTCCCTCTCCTTTCTTTTATTACTTTTTTTTTATCAGCAAAATAAAATATTAAAATTATATGGAATACAAGGGGTACTCCAACCCTTCTACAAAAGTAAAAACTACATACAGCAGAAATTTAAAATCATAAAGTACTCATATAGCAGCCATTTCCAAAAAAAAAACAAAAACATGTGATCTGCACCTAATCCTTCCTACCATTTATATTCCTGCAGAACTCCTTCAGCATGCTTTTGTTCTTTCTTATATCTGCAGCAGTCTCCACCGGATTGATCTTCCAATCAACCAGCGAAAAAACATAGCCCTGCAAGTAATTTTTAATCCAGAAGAAAGTCTTGGCCTGTATCATCTCCACCAAGTCATCCCTTTGAACCACATTTCCTTTAAATGCTCTACAATTTCTCCAATACCATACATACCAGGAAGTAACAAGGAAAATGCAAGATGCCAATTCCTTTCCTATCACCTTACCCAATCCAAACAAGAAAAATTCTGCTACTCCCCCCACTACATTCGGCAACACCGTCTCCATTCCTCACCAAGATAGCACCCTAACCCATATTAACCACGCTTCCTGACATGTGCAAAAAACATGATTACCATCTTCTATCCCCTCATTACACAGCCCACACCCTAAACCCCCCTCCAAAACCACTCCTCTCTTTTGCAAGTTCCACTTTGTTGGAAGACGATCAAGGCATAATCACCATCCAAAAAAACTAACTTTATTAGGTACTAATTGACACCAAATTAACTTACATAATTGATCACTCAGAATGTATTCCGTTGATACTAGAAATTCATAAGCATTTTTTACCACATACTTCCCATCTGAACCATGCACCCAATGCCAACAATCATCAGTACCTGCCTTTATTTGAGCTCTATTTATAGTCTCCCATAACACCAGCTCTTCATCCTGCTCCCTACCTAATCGCCCCCTCCTCCAAGCTATATTCCATCTCCAACAACCTTCCTCCCAACCCCCCATCTCACTAACTAAACCATCCTTTTTTACTGCCAACTCAAACAATCGAGGACATAAATCTCTCAAAGGCTTGTCCCCTACCAAAACCTCTCTCCAGAAATGTACCCGACTACCATCCCCCACCTCCCATTTAAAACCATTCACCAACATATTCTTTAAACTACTAGAGCACAAACCAATACTAATAACATCCTTCCAAATCCTAGACACTTGAACTGTATCTACTGCTGTAATATCTACTTCCTCCCTTCCACCATAATACTTCTCCCACACCACTTGTTTCCACAATCCCTCTGCTCCATCACCTAGTTTAAACCACCACTTCCCTAAAAGTGCCCAATTTTTACGATGCAAATCCGACACACCAAGACCTCCCTTCCTCTTACTAGTGCACACATAATCCCACTTAACCCATGGAATCTTCCTCTTTAATTCCACCCCACCCCACAAAAAGGACCTCTGTAGACTAATCAACTTAGCAACCACTCAATTTGGCATTAAAAATAAATACATGTAAAAAATGGGAAGAGCAGAGATTACCGAGTTAAGTAAAGTGATACGACCACTAACAGACAATGCAGCGGACTTCCAGGCAGCCAGCTTAACACGGAATTTATTTATAACCGGATCCCACATTTTGCTACTCCCATTCTTCCCCCCAATAGGCATTCCCAAATACATTAAAGGGATTTTCCCTACTTCACAATGCAGAACACTTGCCGCCCCTTGAATCCACCGTTGAGACACCTTTAAACTAGAAACACAACTTTTACTGAAGTTAATCCTCAACCCAAACATTAGCTCAAACCATCTTAAAATGGTTTTGACCATGAAAATATTCTCACTATCTGCTTTCCCCATAATCATAGTATCATCAGCAAATTGCAGCAAAGAAATAGCTAATCCCTTGGTACCCACTGCAATACCATGGAATAAGCCCTCCATTTCGGCCTTTTAACTAAGCCATTTAAAGCCTCCGCAACCATCAGAAAAAGAAACGGAGACAATGGGTCTCCTTACCTTAATCCTTTTCCCATCATAAACTCCTCCATGGGGCTTCCATTAATTAATGATTTTTATTTTAATACTTGAAAATAGTTCAAATTTTCGTTTTAATTACTAAGATTTCAATTTTTTTATTAATACGGTTAATGTAATTAATCAAAATATTTTAATCATTATTTATTAACCAGAGTGAAATATTTTAGTTGCTAAATTTTTAATTGTATTAATCAAAGAAAAAATATTTTAAATATCAAGTAATTTAGAATTGAACAAAATATATTCATCTCTAATAATAAACTATGTAGTGAAAAAAATAAGGAGAGTTTTGATTATCATTTTTAAATTTTATAGTAATTTATTTAATTAATATTAACTGATAAAAATTTAATATTTTAACTATTACATCATAAAAATGTATTATAAACATTATAAGAATTCTTGATATACTTATAATGTATTTTGTTAAAGTATTTTTGTTTATATAAGATTTAAAATTAAATAATAAAAAAATATGATAAACATACCATAGTAGAATTTTTTTTAAAATTAAAATCATCATAAATTAGCAAATATATCTTTTAGATAAAAAATTGTAATTAAAGTTTGATTAGTTGGGGGGAAAAAAATAAAAACGAAAAAGAAGAGTGGCTGAAATTAAATTTAATGAAGGATGGTCAAAAATGTTAGGCTGAAATTAATTAATAAAGGGAAAAAAAAAGTAAAATGGTAGATTTACCGGATAAAGAAAGTATTGACACGTGGCAACAAAAGAGTATATCAAAGAACTTATAAAAGTGACACTTGACATGCTTATCTTGAATGATTTCTGATTTAATATATATATAGATTTTTTTCTATTTTAAGTTGTACAATTAATGAGAGCCAACCATTTTTCATCAAATGTACTATTTCTTTTTCTCTTGTAGTTTTGAGGAAGACATCCACAGCCTTATCTATCCAACCGAAAGTTGTGTGATCCCCATGTGCCGGTCATGTTCTGGCCTAGTGGCTAAGGCCACTTGTTAGTGGGATCACTTCCTATGCCCAGACCTCGCCCGTGACGTGAATGGAATTCCATCACAGTGTGCTGCACACTGATCTTCGAATTGATGATTTGATGGAGAAGGATAAACACTGCCAATTACAACATTTTATTTAGCTAAATACTTTCTAGGATTACAATCCTACTTTTTTTCTACATATATAGGACATATATCTGGACCCAGAGAATTTGTGACCTTGGATGTAATTGGGACAGGCTTACGACACAACGGCATGTCAGATGGTGGTATTGACATTTTGGTATCTGGAGATTCGCCATTTTTAACTATGAATACTGCATCCATGCCCCAGACCATGTGTCGATCGAAATGGCAATGCATAAACCACACTCCTATTCACGAAGAAAAAAGAAAAAAAGTCATTGACAATTAAAACAATAATAATTTTGAAATGTCTGTCGAAATTACTTTAATTAAAACTCGAACACTAATTGGAAGAAAACAAGTACTCAATGTATGAACTCTACGCAAATTTATATATATCCAAAGAATTCTATGAAATTCTAAATGACATTGATAGGAATACTATTTATTAACAGGTTATAGAACATTTTATACCCGATGTTTCAATAAATTTCATTTTTTAGTTAAAAAAAGACATACCAGGATTATCAGCTTTGAATCTGATGGCGAGCCAGCCATCTACAGGCACAATAATGGTGTTCGAAAGGGGAGGGTCGACCAGATTATACTTCAAGGGATCTATCTCATTATCAAAATCCCCCACACCGACCCCCACAACATAGAAACTAAACCCATGAAGATGCATCGGATGGTCACTGCCTAGAAGCAAGTTTGTACCCTGGAAAACAAGTTCCACTGTGGAATTATATTCCAGTATCTTCACTTCGGTCGCTAGGGTCGGTATCTCCAGGTTCATTGGTAAATCCTCGGCGGTGAAGTTATAAAATAACGGAGGAAAGTCAGGAAACCAAGTCCCAAATACGCCAGGAATGCAATAATAGTAAGCTTCCAATATATCAATTTTAGGATCGACCAAACTGATATTGTTCACACTAGCTAAGATTCTCGTCCCATTTGGCCCTGCACATGAGATTTTTTTATGAGCCAAACGAAATAATTTTCATTAGGTAAATCTATTCTTGTGGGCCTAAACTTTAAGAGAATCACACTTTCATCCTCAATCTTTAAAATTGATCAATTAGATCCTTGACCTTTAATCAGTTAGAATTTTTTTATCTAGTATGTGCATTTGGCCCAACTACTTTTACATAAATCTACAAATCGCCTTATCTATAGATATCGAGTAAATCTTCATCCATAATTCCACTCATTCAAATAGAAAATTATTTATGAAAAATTCAAAATTATATATAGAGGTTAAGGAACAAAAGGAATATTTATTCAGTAATTATTATATTTTCCCATTTAATCAATTAAAAAAAAAGTATACCTCAAAATAAATACCTGAGCACGAGTTGTTTGGGCATAGAACTGTGTTCATTGACAGAGTATAAAACAAATGACTATTTATTTCCATTGGCACGTTAATTGGATGCTCCTCATCAGCTAAGCTCCGGAGACTGCCAGTAAAATTAACAGCTGCATGTGAGTCATTGTACTCAGGAAGATAAGGGAATAGCGGCGGCGAAGATGGAGTGTAGTTTCCACTGTATTCTACAATAGCTGTGGTGGTGGTGTTGTCGAAAACACCTTTTGCAGCAACGGTGTATGCTTTGGCAGCCATGTAATAGTGATTGGGACTTTGGTTGGCTTCTAGAAGGACATCAAAGGTTTGGCCAGGAGATATGACAAAGAAGCTTCTCTCTAATGGTTTTAGGTAGCTAGCATCGGATCCGACCAAGGTGACATTGTGGCCGGCAATGGAGAAGAAGAGCATATCTTGCACGGCAGAATTGATTATCCGAAGAAGATAAGTCAAACCTTTCTCCACCTTGAGTCTGAATGTGTCTGCAAATATGGAAGAAAAAAAAAAAAAAGCAGGCAATAACAAGTACTGACAACTTAAAAAAAAAAAAACAAAGAAAAAAAACAAAGAAAAGAAGAAGAAGAAAAGAAAAGCATAATTGTGCTGCCAACCTAACCCTTGAATGGGAAGGCTTCCCGAATGCGTGGGCTATTGTAACTAACGGTCTCTACCTAGTTTTAAAAAAAAATGAAAATTTAAATATTTTCCCTAAAAATAGATGTGTGAAAAGTCGAACTTTGGCCACTGAGATATTAATCATTTTTTTTGTATATATTATACTTAGCTGTTAGAATTAGTGCTTATTAATAATTTTTTTTAAAGATTAAGAAAAAAATATTATATAACTATATTGTTTTAATAAACTTAAAAAAAAAAAAGAAAAAAGGAAAAAGAAAAAGAGTTTGACCTTGTTTAGAGCAGGGATAAAGATCACCAGGCTGACCATTGATGGTGAAGGCATTGGAATAGTTTCCTTCACCGCCAGAAAGAAAAAGTTCATCTACAACCTCCACTATATCTTGTATCCACCAATCTCCTGCATTTTAAGTAATCCCAAACATTCCGAATCTTCATTTAATCATTGAAATTCTTTTTCTTTTTTTCTTATATGGATTTATAATTGTTTTTTAAAATACCTAATAGGATGGGAATTTCTGCATCAGGTTTGGCGAAGGGATAGCTTGTTCCCAACTTGGGATATATGATCATAGCACCATATACAGTTGCTCGCAACCAATCACTATGAGCATGCCACCACAAAGTCCCTTCTTCGGTTGTCAAAATGATCTTCTGTCTAAATTTTGCTCCTGGTGCAATAGGACATTGTGTGATGTATGCTGCACCATCCGTCCATGGATTTCTTGGTTGTTTCACTCCATGCCTGCCAAAATGCCATCATGCACCATCATGAGCAACAATAATCTCCTTTTACATTTATGAAGTGTTGAAATGGCTCGAGATAATTAATACCAATGAATAGTGATGTTATATTTTCCTCTGTTGTAAACATCTACAGCGATTGTGTCTCCTTTATGAACATATAAAGTAGGCCCCGGATATTGGCCATTTACGGTGAGTATGTTCTTTGTGTTGCATAATCTCGTATATGGAACTTCCTTCACCTACATAAAAAATTTATGATAAATACAATGGTATATTGTTGTATTCTGTTCATAAAAATCGGAATACGTACTTACAACGAACTTGTAATGTGGATACGCTTGGCAATGGTAGAAAAACAAAGAGAGTAAGAAGCCTAAGATTTTGGAAATATAGACTTTCATAGTGGATACTAATAAGTTGGGATATTAATGAATACATCAAAATGGGGTGGGGTTATATATAGGGGTGAATGTGGCATATAATTGAATAACCAGCTTGTTCCTTATATCAAAAAAACCCAACTGGTTAATGACAGAAGTAAGTAGTGGGAAAGGACATCCATCTAGCACGTGAAGAGATATTAGAGGATGCTTTGTCTATTCTGTGGGAAGGATGAACAAGACATTGACCATATCTACATGCCGTGTGGAAAAGTTCAAAGGTTACGGAAAAAGTGTTATAATTTATGGGGAATATCTTTCACTCCCCATAACTCATAAAGAATTATGGGAAGTTCATTGTGCAGGAATTCCTAGTGTGGTCGAAGGCAAAAAATTAACTGGTTAAGGTAGTGTGGATGAGAGTATGTTTAGCTTTGACCAGTGGTGTTTATTCCCTAGATTATGTGCTAAAGATCTCCAGTAATGTGTCATTAGGTGTAGGTGCTGCTGCCTGTTTTGCTTTTAGTATTTTGTTGTGAGTTTAGAAAAGTAGCACATATAAGCACTTTTATGTATTTGTTGGCAGGAATAGCCATAAAGAGAGAAGTAGAGTGATTTATCAAAAAGAAAAAAAAAACGAAAATAATTGGTACATCCTTTGGTTGAACATATTTGCTAATACCTATTGATTTAGTAATTAAAATCTACACTTGAAAATTTTCATGTTTTAAATTCAAATTTAAAAATAGTAATATGTTAAATTGAAAAATATATCAATTATTGTCAAAAAAAAAAAAAAGTGGTGGGAAAAGAGAAAAATAAACCCTAGACAGAGCCTTTGCCTACCAAAAAGGTTGTCATTTTTATTCACCATATTCTTGTTAAGAACTCCCCACCTAACATCTTTGACGGAAATTCCTTCCCTTCGCACCACGATCCAAACCTACCACTTAATCATCATGCCTCACTTATGAAAATATTGAAAAACAAAAGAATTTCTCAAGCATGCATATCCACTTTCAGTCCTTCGGTCTCACCTTCATTTCATATCAACAAGGTATACGTCTATAAAAGTTAGATAAAAAATATTCTAACTGTAAATATTAAAAAAAAAAAAAAAAGGTGGAACATCATACACATTATAAAAGATCAAGAAAAGACTCATACCATTTAAAAGAATAGTAAGTTGTTTAATGGACACTAATTGATACATATTTCAATTCAACATACTGTACAATACATTCTATAACGATTCAAATCCCACATCAGTAGAATATTGTAAGTGAGTCTGGTATATATATGTGGTGACTAACTACTACTAATAATTTGAGTTTGAGATTTTGAAATCTCATAAACCTTGGCCCGAAGAGTTATTAGGCCAATGGTGGGTTTTGGCCTAAATTGTTTTAGTTATTATCAGTACTAATAGTTTGAGTTTGAAATTTTAAGGGCTTGTGGACTTAGTTCAGTGATAAACTTCAATTTGAGTCATTTCAAACTTTTTAAATAAATCATTATTTTTTAATTTGAAATTAAAGTTAAACAAACTTAAAGATGTCACTACGCATAAAAAATATAGAAACTAGTTTAATCGATTATATTTATATTATATTTTTAATGATTAAGCCAAATGAATGTAAAAAAATATATCAAATTGAGCCTGTACCAACCATTTTTTCATTTAATAGAGTGGACAATATTATGAGAATAGAATGGAGTTATTTCAAAAATATTGTAGTTATTAGCCAGAACGGAGAAGATTGGTTGCTTGGGTTGCCTTAAATCTATACTTTTTTTTATATATAGTTTGGATATTATAATTGCTGAAATACTCTTAATAAAATTGTTTGTAGTAATTTTTTTACCCAAATTGCATAAATAAATACCTTTCTCATCGTTCCATTCTCCTTGTTTTTCATTTTCTTTTCAATTGGTGTGGCACCCAGATTGTGCGTAGATTATTATGAGAGCTCTTTTTGGTCGATAAACAAGTTTACTTTCTGGTTGCTTAATTCTTTATGGTATAATTGTTGGGAAGGAAAATAAATGGAATTTACCAATTGTGAAGATCCAATTGAGACCTAGCTATATAGAATTGTACATCAATATAAATGAATGAAAAGGAAAAGAGAGAAATATGGCCTAGACAGACGCTGTACCTACCAAAAAGGTTGTCATGTTTATTCACCATATTCGTGTTAAGAACTCCCACCTAACATCTTCCATTGAAATTCCTTCCCTTCTCACAACGATCCAAACCTACTACTTAATCATATGTCACACCCGAGAAAATTTGAAAAGAATTTCTCAAGCATGCATATCCACTTCCAGTCCTCATCTCTCTCTCTCATTTCTTATCACTGAGTGTGGATTACCAATTGCTACATTCTAAAATATTGATTTGAGTTCAATTTTAGGAATTCAAACATTTGCTATTTAAGCAGCTTTCATTTTTTTTTTTTGTCTCGAACCCTTTTATTATTTCAAAATTTTAGATTATAACACTAAGATTGGATTTATTAATAAGCATATATCATCTTAGAAACCAATTCTAAGGTTTAAGTCTTGGAACTAGCACATAATAAAATTTTATTATTTCTTTGAATGCATTATGTCAACGTGGGAGGTGCTCTTTAAGATTGTCTAGGGAGATATTTAGTGTTAAGCTGCAGGAAAGCTAACTCAAAAACACCCTCATTGTAAATATCCAAAAAAAAAAAAAAAAAGTTATACATTGATACACCTCATAAATCAAGAAAACACGCGTAGCATTTAAAAAGAATAGCAAGTAGTTTGGTAGAGTGGACAATGTTGAGGATAGAACGATGGAGCTATTTCGTATAGGCATTGATGTGGATTGTTATGATGCCGATGGTTACCTACGTGCCGACCCAAAAAAAAAAAGAAAATGGTTATGTGGGCTCTCATGTAATTCAATTAAAAAATAATTAATGCACAATTCAATATATTTTTTAATATTTTTTCAATTCAATTATTAAAATATAATATAAATATAATCCAATTTAATTAATTCTTACATTTTATGCATATGATTGTATTTTTAAATTTGTTTATTTTTAATTTTAAATTATAAAATAATAATTTTTTAAAAATATATTGTGCAATATTTTCCTTAGCCAAGGTTTTGTTGTGGCTTGAGAGAATATAGAATGTATGGGTGATTGGGTTGAGTACAAGTGGTACTTCCACAAAAAGTTAAGTAGCAACTTGATTGGCCACCAACCCAACCGTGCGTTGGGTGGCTGAGCGCGCGTTGTTGATTTGGGGTTTGGTGTGTGTCTTTTTCATTTCCTACAGTTTTCTCCTTCCGTTCAACTTTGTCGAAAAACTAGCTATCACATTATTTGTGTGTCTAACATTTCATCAAATCCCCACCCTAAATTCATGGTCCCAACCTTGTCTTTTGGTTGATTTAGCGTGAGTTATGGTATTTGTTTAATTTGATTCTGTGAATTCCAGAGGAAAGCACGAGAATTAAACTTGCTTCATGCCTAAATGAACACTGTATATTTTCTTGTGGGTTTGTTTATTTCTGATCAGCATCTTGCACTTTTTATTTCTTTATGGATTTTTTTAACTTGTACCCGTAATTATTATACTCTTTTTTCTTATTAATTACTATTTAAAAAATAAAAATTAATCTTTATTTAAGTAACTGTCTAATTAAATAGTCCACATAGCACAAGTGATGAAATTAATGACAGTTTTTGTATTTTTAAAGAATAATTAATGTAAAAAGAGTACAATAATTACACTCTTAACATGTGCCCTTATGACATAAGTTAGACAAATGATAAACTAAATTTATATAGATATTAATGTGAAATTTTTGTCTTAATGTTATTGATATTTGAATGAGTATTATGAGATTTTACTTGATTTTACATAACTTTCAATCTTTGTGTGGAAAAGGACTTAATTGGAAGAAATCATAATTTTCAGGAGTAAATTGTAGAGATAAGAAAAATGAGGATTAACTTGTGTAGAATTCAAAAGTTAGGGACTAAGACTATTATTTTACCATTAATAGAGATTGCTTAGAAGGCCAAAACCCAACACGATGATTTTAATCTACTATTAACAGAACGTGTGGGCACCTAGTAGAAGGTAATGACCCCTTACACGATTTTCAGAAATTTGTGTCTAATTTATTATTTTAGGTGTGAGTCCCACTTCTATTCCAATTAAGGTTTCTAAAATCCTACAAATACCCATTCAAATTTAGAATTAAGAGTTTGGAAGCTAGTGGCAACCCTAGATCAAGAATTTCAACTATCTCAAATTATGTTTCATTTTTTCTTAGATATTCTTATGTCCATAAGTATAATTTCAAGTTTTTATTATGAACTAGTCTATTTTATTAAGGCTACAATGTAACCTAATCAATTTATTTTAAATTTAGTGATTTTGTACTTTTAATTAAAGTTATTCACATGATGAGTTTATATTATTGAACTTAATATATTGCAAACTTGATCACCTTTTGATTGATTTAGTAATTTATGTATGAACATAAAAAAGAATTGTGTAAATTGGACCAATAATAATTAAACCGTGTGTTAGACTATAAGACTGAGAATTAATCAACATCACATGTGATAGTGGAGGAAGAAAAAAAAGTTAGGAGCTCCCCTCTTTTAAGCCTGAGGTTTTCATAGAACTTAATGCTCATTCATTTGTTTAAAATTACATAGAGATATAACTAATTTAATAAACACACGAAAGATTAAATTGACTTAAGAAAACTAGTTAATTAATTTAGGAAAGTTCACTATCACATACTATAACACTTAACAAATTGGCCTTAGAAACATATTAATCCAAAATTTATATTGATTAATTATGGTTAAGTCGGTGCCTTAGTATCTCATATCTTGGGTTTTTTTTTTATTTTAATTTTTTATTATTTTTAATTAAAATTTATTCTTTTTTGATTGTTTAAGTAAATTTAAATTAATTATTTTGATACTTAATTAATTACAATTCTCGTGGATACAACACTCTACTTATCATTATATTACTTGAACCGACTAATACACTTGCAAGAGTGATTTTAGCACATCAACAAACCCTTTCTTTATTAATCTTGAGTTTAAAATCTTTGATGCATAAAACTCAAGGATGATGGGCCGGCTCAGGGGAAACAACAGTGGGCAAAGTTTTGGGTGAGGCGCTAGCTTATTCTTTTCTTGACAGATGAGTGCCTTGATATTTAACTATGGGTATTTTCTTTTGGACCCTTGTATCATGTGATAAGAAATTAACCTATGTTTTTCTACTTACCATTCAAATTGATTGTTTCGTCCTTTTGGACGAAAATGGTATTTTAACCCATGTACTTTTTGATATTGTTGAGATTAACCTCGTAATTTTTTTCTACAATATTTGAACCCCATCACTTATATATTAAAATAAATTAATACAGTTACTTTTTGGTTAAAATAAATTAACCAAAATCTAACGTATGATGTCATAAAACGTTACTTTACCGTGAAACCCATTTTTTTGCGGTTAATGCATTGTTGACTTGGTGCATGTGGGATCTGATTTTGTGACATGGGTTGATGTGGATTACTTTTTTTATGACATGGCCTCTGATAAACTATCTGGAATAAGGAATGGCTTTAAGTTTAGGGTTTTCTTTAGGGCTGATTAAGGGAAAAATATAAAGCAAGTTTCTTCCATTAAATAATGCAAAAGGAAGGAAGAGGAAATAGTCAGACTCTCATTATTGGCACCATTTTCATTACTTTTAGCTTCCTCACCAACAAATCTAGCAACACTGAACAACAGAAACAGCCATACTCGCCGCACCGCCTTGCCAGATCTCCCTTTGTTCTTCAAAGGCTTAAATCTATCAATTTTCACAATTACAGGTCTTAAGAACCCATTATTGGCTTTGAAAAATCTCCTCATCTACATGTCGATTCCCAATATTTCTCTTTTTAGTAGACCTTGGAGCCGAAGCAGAAACCGCAAGCTTTTCGGTCTAGATCTCCATCTATGTTGCAAAGGCTCAAGTCGATTAACTTCTCCAATTACTTATTTCAAGAACCCACCTCTGATTTCCGGGAGAAAAAACTCCAAAATCTGATACCCATTACTTGTTGAAGCAAATCCATGAGCAAGACCAACCCCAAATTGAAGAAGAAGAAAAAGAAGTAAAGGAAGAGAAGTAGCAAATCCAAGAAGAAGAACAAACACTGGACGAGGTATGTAGTAAGTTGAAGGAAGCCAATGTCACAAGGACCAAATCCGACATGAAATCCACATCGAGTGAAATACCCACAAAACTACCTCGGAAGATGGAGAAATCGGCAAGCGCAAAGTCCGCATTCTCGCACTCTAAAGAAGACGATATCGTCGAGAGTCGCCTTCCTTTTCCTCTTCCTTCATTTTGCTTTGATTTCCTTTTTCTTTGTTTTTGGGGAAATAAAAGGGGCCATGTCATCAAAAGAGTAGTCCACATCAAACCATGTCACAAAATTGAGTCCCACATGCACCAAGTCAGTAATGTATTAACTACAGATAAATGAGTTTCACCGTAAACTGACATTTCATGACATCATAAACTAGATTTTGACTAATTTATTTCAATCAAAAAATAAGTGTGTTAATTTATTTCAATATATAAGTGACGGGGTTCAAATATTACAGAAAAAAGTTACGGGATTAATCTCAACAATATTGAAAAGTACATGGGTTAAAATACCCTTTTCACCATCCTTTTGTGTCATCGACTTGTCCATTTCTAAGAAGTACATCTTGTATGGTCCATCTCGGCGGATTCTTCTCTAATGTCTGCCTTCATTTTTTTTTTTTTTGTCCCATCAGTTAGGGGCATGAATATCAGTATCTACCACCTCTGCCAAACTTTAGAATTCTGCAAAATTTTATGGTTTAGGAACCTCACCGCATGTATCTAACACAAGAACACAAAGAACGAATACAGTGTTTGGTTTTGTAATACTTGCTCTTGTTGGCAATTTGGTCTTGCAAATAAATCTTAAGCTGCTTTGATATTTTGATGTTGTTAAGTCAAATGGACAAATAGCTTAAGATGATAATGGGTAAAAGGGCATTTGGTAGAGCTTAAAAAGCATTTCCTTTAAAAGTACTATTTATATATTATAAATTTGAAATTTTGTTAGGGAGATTTAAAAATTGTCTTTTAAAGTAAGTTTTAAATTAATTTTGAAAAAATTTGAATATGTAACTTTTTCAAAACTTAATTAAACCCACCTAAAAAACTAATTTTAAGTATTTTTCTTGAACAAAATTTTGAATTTGTGAGAGAGAATAATGCTTTTAAAACAAATGTTTTAAGATTCACTAGACAACTTCCAAAATTTTATAAACAAATCTTAATTTAGTTGACGAGTGTAAAATAAGTAAGAAAGGAATTTTGAGGAGTACCATATCCTAATGTTTCTTAGATTATTATCAAATTTGATCAGGATTAATATATTTCTTGTTTGTGTTTTAGCGATCGCTATGTAGAGTAGGCTATTGGTGGAGAGTTTGTGACTCAAATATTGAACTAGCTAGTAAGTATGCTGAAAAATTCTACAAAGATAATTGATAGTTGGATTTTCATATATATTAATGTAAAATTTTTGTTTTGATATTATTGATATTTGAATGAATTTTAAGAGATTTTACTTGATTTTATATAATTTTCATTCTTTGTGAAGAAAGGACTTAATTGAAAGAAATCAAAATTTTAAGAATCAAGTCAAAGAAATGAGAACTATTAGGATCAAATTGTCAACTAATGAAAGGTAAGTGACCGGAACAGTTTTACCAATTAAGAACCAAAATTGCGTTTTTTGTCCAAAATCGCCGACACGGACTCACGGATACATTGCAGATGCCGGCACCTCACATAGAGCGTCGACTCCTGAGGCAATTTTCAGAACTTTCTCACCAAGCCCTTAATATTTTGATGGGAGTTCTATTTCTACTCAAATTAGGATTTCTACATTCTGCTAAATACTCACATAAGATTAGAATTAAAAGGGCTTTGGGATACTTTTGGTAACTAATTTTGGAACATTCTTGAAGTTTTAAGTTAAAGGTGATAAGAAGTTATCAACAAGGAAATCAATATTTTTAGATTGAATTTTGCTTTTTCTTCTTTTTTTTTTTCTTTAATTTCTTTATTTTTTTTTAAAGATTGTCAGTTCATCATGATTATTTTAGATTTTATTATTTTCCGTATGAATTAATTTAGCATAATAGGACTATCATGTATGATGGTTTTTTATTGTTGAATTTAATACTTTAAAATCATGATTACTGTTTGATTGTTTACTTGATTTATTTATAAATTTTAAAAAAATTACATAAATTAAACCAATAATAATATAAATTTTATATTAAACCATATTAGATTGAGAGGTAATTAATAACGTTTCAAATCAAACAAGTAAGTAAATGGGTGGAAAGGTCCCCTCTTACATTGCCATGGTAACTTCTATTTTTGAACCTTTGCCTTTCAAGTTTCCTCACTATTCCACAAGTCATCAGTGGTTTTTTCATCATTTGATACTGAGTTTTCACTTTTGCCCTCCGAACTTTGTTTCTCCATTTCACCTGTTATGAGGGGTATATCCATCATTTCGTGACTTCTTCCCTTCCATCTCTCAGAAAATATGTTTTCTCTGTTTTGCCCTCGGGGCTTTGTTTCTGCTTTTCTCTCTTGGAATATGGCTTTCGGGTTATTTCTCTTCCTGTTTTTACAGGGTCTATGTTGATCTGTTTCCTTTTCTGCGTTTGATTGGTTCTCGCAAAATCTAGTCGGTGGTCCTTGATCATCAAAAGGGAAAGTTTAGTTCTGCGGTTTGGGCAGACTTTTGGTGTTTAGGGTCTGTTTGCTTTGCTGAGATTTGAGCCTCAATCCGTCCATCTCCTTTCAGATTTTAGATATGACGATTTCCCTTCTCTTGCTCATTTCTGTCATCTCAATCACGTTTCCTTTCTTGCTGCCGGTGGTAGAGGAAGATTGTGAAAGTGGTTAAGTGAAGAGAGAAGAAAGAAGTAGGTAGATCTGCTGTGATTAGATTTGGGCGAGGGAGTCTGACGGGGAAAATTTTGAGTGATGAGACTAGGCTGGAGGTGAGAAGAGGAGATGAGAAAAGGGAAGAGACAACGTGGATGGGCAATGGGTCACAGATGGAGAAAACATTGGAAGAGGAAGATCGTGGGTTCAGGAAGGCTGGTCACAACCGAGGAAGAGAAAAAGAAAGAGACTCGATGGTGGCTGATTTTCCAAATTTGAGTTTGTTGGGTAAAACTCTTATTTTATCCTTCTTTTTTTTTTTCTTTTTTTTTTCTTTTTTGAGATTTTTGTAATATATAGATTCTGCGATGGAGAAGCCTGCTGATGGCAATGATTGGGTGCTCTATTTTGGCAGGAGGAGAGGAGGCCCTAAACTCCTCGCAGAAGCTGATGTGTCGGTCCAGCACTTCCTCTGTGGAAATGGTCGTGTGGGATCTCTGCACTATGTCCTTGACGGCTTGGACACGGAGGCCGCAGATTCAGGGGCCCTGGTAGCATTCCTGGACGCAGAGGATGTAGGCCGAAGTGCATTCCTCAGTGAAGCAGCAGCGATGGCATTCGATGGATTGGATTCTGGTGGAAGGAGTGACTTTAGTTGACGGTGGCTGAGTCTCTAAGCTGGCAAATGCCATGGTTTGAGATAGAACATTGGAGATTAGTGGTAAGATAGTTTGAAATGATTGAGTTTTGAAATTAAAAATCGTCTAGGAAGAACAGAAAAACAAACGTGATTGTACGAAATTGTTAGGTAAATTTTCAATCCTTAGACATTCATTTTGTTTATGATTAAAAGCTATGATATGGCTTTCTTTAGATACTGTTTAGATGAGTAAAATTCATATAATCAAGAGTTTCTAATAATGTAATTTTTATTTATTTTGTTGTAGTATTACTCTTTCCTACTCTATCTTTTTATCAGTATATACTAAATATTTTATAGCAAATAGAAGGTTGATGACAGGGTAAGTGATAGCTGGAATAGTTGTCATTCTGGCGAGGATGATAGTGAAGGAGAAAAGTAAGTTAGATGTGTCGATTTTGTTAGTGATTTTCTATTTTTCTCCTCCACCAGCTCAGAAACAAAATCTACCCACAACTTAGCTAGACTCTCTACCTTCTAATTTACTCTTATCTTTCTTTTAACGCAGAATTTCTTATTATCATTATTTCCCTTATAAGGTGAGTAATCCTCCCACGTTCTTTCACATTGAAAGTCCATTTTGAAGATTGAAGAACTGAAATTACATGGGGGGATTGCTTTTGTTTGAGTGCTAATTGCTTTGCTTTGGTAGAAAAGGAAACAAAGGAGAGAAAGAGCAGCAGACATCAGAGGGGAGGGTGGATGTCGATGAGGCTAGCATCAAGGGGATCTGCCATTTCAAATATGACAACACTAAGGTTTGTTCAATAATTGATTTGTAGTTAATTGAATAAGTGCTAATTTTCTTATAATCTACAGTTCCATAAGTAATGTGACCTAAGGTATGTTTTATTTTTGCTATAAACTATCAAATGGATTGTTTATGACCTCATCGTGTCTTATTTAGGAGATCAGTGAAATACACAAAGTAGTATCTCCTCTCAAGAGAATTGTGAAGATGAAATATGCACCTTAATTTGATCAGAGTTGCTTTTCTTTTATTGCTTTGAGCGAGATAAAGATTGAGAGATTCTTATTCCTTCAGTTCATGTTATAACTTAAGACTTATGAGCTATGAGCTGTTCTTTTATAATTGAGTTGAGTTTAATTGGTATTCTTTTATGTTTGAATTAATTGTAGTCTTAAGAGAAAAAAGACACATCTTGCTCTCCACAAGTTAAGTTTGACTTGGCTGAACTTGCTTTGTGCAAGTCCCTTGTTTTCTTTGTAATAAATTGACAGGAGTGTCGGAAACTTTATTTCAAGCTCAGTTTAGCTAGCATACTCATTCTTATTTCTTTTAAGAGAACCATTTTTGCTTCCATGCATAAAGTTTGCAAATGTGTTTAACTGGTGTAGTTTGTGATTGGTGTGATCACATTTTCTGAATGCAGTTCATGAAAGGGGCTTTCCTCTTCTTGAGGGTTGAAATAAAGGCATGGGAGCTAGCTGGTAAGTGAATCCTATTAAAGTAAGAAGATTAGATTATCCTGGATTATTGTTTTATTTTTCTGATTATCTGATTCCTTTCATCTTGTTTAGGCTTTAGGTTTAAGGTTTTGTACTTGATGTGGTAGACTTCTATGAAGATCTTTTTTTTTTTTTTTTTCAGTTAAGAATGTTTGGGCTATGTATGACGTGAAGATCATCATTGGACTTACTTTAATTAGAAAGGTACTGTTAGAAATTTTGTGATGATAGAAGAGTTGAAGTACAATGAAAACTATCACTGATTGTAGGAGGTCAACATAGTAAAAATTTCTGAAAGATATTAAGGCCTTATGCCCCATGACTTTGATTATCTATCTTTTTACTGGGAATAGGCTGACTTATGTTTCAATGGACAAATTCATTTAATCCTCCTGATTCTTTATCATTTCATTATTCATACATCATTTTCAGTGGAATTTTGAAGTTTCTATCATGAATTAGTTAGCATATCTAACCTTAAGATCAATCATTTACCGGTTGATTTTTCTTCTATTTTTGTTTTAATTGTTTATTTTACTGTGTTTTTTAGTTATGCCTTTCCTTTTTTAAGTGAAACTTAATTCCAAAATCCTTTATTTTGCATATTAAATGGGGTTTGTCTTGGATACTTTGTGTACTTTGTATTTGTTAGTTTTCCTGATTTTTTATTTCTTCTATTTCTCTCTGACTTTTATTTTCCATACTTTGTTTTTGTGAGATTCTAATAGGGGGCTACTTAAAGAATTATGACTATTGAGTTTATGTGACAAATTCAAGTTTGTGGAATCAAAAGAACAACTTCTGTAGAATGGTAATAATTGGTTTGACATTATAGTAGGTAAGTACCGTGTACTTGACACCAAAATTGGTAGAATTGGATTTATTGTTTGCACTTATGTCCTCTTTTCTTGAGAAGTTATTAACTTGAGAATGTGCATGTGGTGAGAAAGTTTAAGGCTTCAGCTCTTTAGTAGTGCATTGGTGATTTGTTGAGTCTCATTTTTTTAATATATAATTTTGCTTATTTTCTTAAGACTTTTTTTTCCCTATTTCTTACCTCTATTTTATTTTTAATTAAAGGAAACAAGTTGGCTTGGTTTATGATGCAGGAAAAGTGTTGAGCTGAAAAAGAAACTTGGACATGGTTCATTGCATCCACTTTGGCTTTTGACGGGTGAGGAAAAATGGAGATAAATTTTAGGCTCTAAAGTGTGTGACCCCTAGGCCAGGTGGATAGGGCTTTCTTCTTTTTTTTTTTTTCTTTTTTTTTTTGGGTACATCAAGAGCTATTAAAAGCTTAATTTCTAAGAAACATAGTCCCAGTATAGTGGGCTTTCTTAAATATACACAAACACCCCACGAAGTGGGGTACAACAAGCTAGTGTTGTAGTAAAGGACAAGAAGAGAGTTAAGAACTCTCCTTTCTTAAACTAGAGATTTCTATATCACTTAATACTCACCAGTTTATTTTAAATTATATAAAAATATAATTAATAAAGGTTAACTTGCACGGGTGAGTATCCCTTGTACTCAATTTTATAATAAAATTATAATTCATCTAAAAAAAATAAAACTAATTTATTAATTTAGAAAAATTTATCATCACATACAACACTCAACAAATAGATCTGGATTCATCACTATTATTTGTCTATGTAAATAGGTTAAATGCTTTCTGCCTTTTCTTCTTCGTTTCTACACAGTAGCTAGAGTTATAGTTTGTTTGATTTTAATTTCTAGATTAGGTTTTAATTTCACAAGTTTCCAGACTTTGATCAAGTCGTAGATTCTCTTTTAGTTTTAGCAATCAAGTAGTTCAATTATCTTTATTTTAAATTTGCAAGTAATTAGTTTAATCGTTATGGATTGCGTAGTTAACATCATTGTCTGCAATTTAAAACAGTTTGTTGTCTACGAATTTATTTCTGTGGTGTGTTGTTTTCTTTTATTGATTTCATGTTAGGATAATTTACCATGGGATTTGCATTTAATTTAGAATTTGCAAAGGCAATTAGTAACTCATTTTGCAAAATTCCACCCTCTGTTTTACAACATCATCTAGGGTGCATTTTAAGTTCACAAACATTCTTTTTAGCCATACTTTTGGAGGTTCATTGTTGGAAAGGAGAAAGGTTGTCTAGAAAATTTGATTTTCTTGTTTTTAGACAAAGCAAGTGGCATGCCTTTTACCCACACTCATGTGAATAGGGCAAGCTAAGGATTTTTGAGGAAACAATCATTTAAATTGATGATTTAATGGGGAAGGATAAACCCTACCAATTACAGCATTTTATTTAGCTAAATGCTTTCTAGGATTGCAATCCTACTTTTTTTCTACATATATAGGACATATATCTGGACCCAGAGAATTTGCGACCTTGGATGTAATTGGGACAGCCTTATAACACGATGGCATGTCAGATGGTGGTAGTGACATTTTGGCCTCTGGAGACTCGCCATTTTTAACTATGAATACTGCATCCATGCCCCAAAGCATGTGTCGATCGAAATGGCAATGCATATACCACACTCCTATTCAAGAAGAAAAAAGAAAAACGAAAAAAAGTCATTGACAATTAAAACAATAATAATTTTGAAATGTCTGTCGAGAAATTACTTTAATCAAAACTCTTACACTAACTGAAAGAAAACAAGTATAGAATGCATGAACCCTACGCAAATTTATATACATCCAAAGAATTCTATGAAATTCTAAATGACATTGATAGGAATTGTATTAATTAACAAGTTAGAGAACATTTTATACTCGATGTTTCAATAAATTTCATTTTTTAGATAAAAAAAAATACATACCAGGATTATCAGCTTTGAATCTAATGGCAAGCCAGCCATTTGAAGGCACAATAATGGTGTTCGAAAGGGGAGGGTCGACCAGATTATACTTCAAGGGATCTATCTCATTATCAAAATTCCCCAAACCCACCCCCACAACATAGAAACTAAACCCATGAAGATGCATCGGATGGTCACTGCCTTGAAACAAGTTTGTCCCCTGGAAAACAAGTTCCACTGTGGAATTATATTCCAGTATCTTCACTTCGGTACCTAGTGTCGGTAACTCCAGGTAGCCTGGTAAATCGTCGGCGGTGAAGTTATAAAATAACGGAGGAAAGTCAGGAAACCAAGTCCCAAATACGCCAGGAATGCAATAATAGTAAGCTTCTAATATATCAATTTCAGGATTGACAAAGCTGATATTGTTCACACTAGCTAAGAATTTATTCCCATTTGGCCCTGCACATGAGAATTTTTATATGAGCCAAACGAAATAATTTGCATTATAGATAAATATATTCTTGTGGGCCGAAACTTTGAGAAGGATCACACTTTCATCCTCGATCTTTAACATTGAGTAATTAGGTCCTTAACCTTTCATCGGTAAGAATTTTTATATAGTATGTGCAATTGGCCCAACTACCTTTACATAAATCTACAAATCGCCTTATCTATAGATATCAAGTAAATCTTCATCTATAATTCCACTCATTCAAATAGAAAATTATTTATGAAAAATTCAAAATTATATATAAAGGTTAAGGAATAAAAATAATATTTATTCTGTAATTATTATTTTCCTATTTAATCAATAAAAAAAAAAAGGTATACTTCAAAATGAGTACCTGAGCACGAGTTTGTTGGGCATGGAACTGTGTTCATTGACAGAGTATGAAACAAATATGTATTTATTTCCATTGGCACATCAATTGGATGCTCCTTATCAGCTAAGCTCCGAAAACTGCCAGTAAAATTAGCAGCTGCATATGTGTCATTGAACTCAGGAAGATAAGGAAACAGCGGCGGTGAAGATGGTGTGTAGTTTCCACTGTATTCTACAATAGCTGTGGTGGTGGTGTTGTCGAAAACACCTTGTGCAGCAACGGTGTATGATTTGGCAGCCATGTAATAGTGATTGGGACTTTGGTTGGCTTCTAGAAGGACATCAAAGGTTTGGCCAGGAGATATGACAAAGAAGCTTCTCTCTAATGGTTTTAGGTAGCTAGCATCAGATCCGACCAAGGTGACATTGTGGCCGGCAATGGAGAAGAAGAGCATATCTTGCACGGCAGAGTTGATTATTCGAAGAAGATAAGTCAAACCTCTTTCCACCTTGAGTCTGAATGTGTCTGCAAATATGGAAGAAAAAAAAAAAAAAGCAGGCAATAACAAGTACTGACAACTTAAAAAAAAAAAAACAAAGAAAAAAAACAAAGAAAAGAAGAAGAAGAAAAGAAAAGCATAATTGTGCTGCCAACCTAACCCTTGAATGGGAAGGCTTCCCGAATGCGTGGGCTATTGTAACTAACGGTCTCTACCTAGTTTTAAAAAAAAATGAAAATTTAAATATTTTCCCTAAAAATAGATGTGTGAAAAGTCGAACTTTGGCCACTGAGATATTAATCATTTTTTTTGTATATATTATACTTAGCTGTTAGAATTAGTGCTTATTAATAATTTTTTTTAAAGATTAAGAAAAAAATATTATATAACTATATTGTTTTAATAAACTTAAAAAAAAAAAAGAAAAAAGGAAAAAGAAAAAGAGTTTGACCTTGTTTAGAGCAGGGATAAAGATCACCAGGCTGACCATTGATGGTGAAGGCATTGGAATAGTTTCCTTCACCGCCGGAAAGAAGAAGTTCATCTACAACCTCCACTATATCTTGTATCCACCAATCTCCTGCATTTTAAGTAATCTCAAACACTCCGAATCTTCATTTAATCATTGAAATTCTTTTTCTTTTTCTCTTATATGGATTTATAATTGCTTTTTAAAATACCTAATAGGATGGGAATTTCTGCATCAGGTTTGGCGAAGGGATAGCTTGTTCCCAACTTGGGATATATGATCATAGCACCATATACAGTTGCTCGCAACCATTGACTATGAGCATGCCACCACAAAGTCCCTTCTTCCGTTGTCAAAATGATCTTCTGTCTAAATTTTGCGCCTGGGGCAATAGGACATTGTGTGATGTATTCTGGACCATCCGTCCATGGATTTCCTGGTTGTTTCACTCCATGCCTGCCAAAATGCCACCACCACCATGAAACAATAATCTCCTTTTACATTTATGAAGAGTTGAAATGGTTCGAGATATTAATACCAATGAATGGTGATGTTATAATTTCCTCTGTTGTAAACATCTACAACGATGGTGTCTCCTTTATGAACATATAAAGTAGGTCCCGGATATTGGCCATTTATGGTAAGTATGTTCTTTGTGCTGCATAATCTCGTGTATGGAACTTCCTTCACCTACATAAACAATTTATCATAAATACAATGGTATGTTGTTGTTTTCCATTAAAGAAAAACGGAATATGTACTTACAACGAACTTGTAATGTGGAGACGCTTGGCAATGGTAGAAGAAAAGAGAGAGTACGAAGCCTAAGATTTTGAAAATAGAGACTTTCATAGTGGATACTGATAAGTTGGGAAATGAATGAATACATCAAAATGAGGTGGAGTTATAAATAGAAGTGCATAATTGAATAATTAACCTGATCATTATATCAAAAAAATCAACTGGTTAATGAAAAAAGTAAGTAGTGGGAAAGGACATCCATCTTGCAAGCGAAGAGATCTTAGAGATGCATTGTCTATTCTGTGGGAAGGACGAAGAAAACATTGACCATATCTACATGCTGTGTGGAAAAGTTAAAAGGTTACGGAAAAAGTGTTATAATTTATGGGGAATATCTTTCACTCTCCATAACTCAAAGAATTATGGGAAGCTCATCGTGCAGGAATTCCTAGTGTGGTCGAAGGCAAAAAAAAATTAACTGGTTAAGGTAGTGTGGATGAGAGTATGTTTAGCTTTGAGCAGTGGTGTTTATTCCCTAGATTATGTGCTAAAGATCTCCAGTAATGTGTCTTTAGGTGTGGGTGCTGCTGCCTGTTTTGCTTTTAGTATTTTGTTGCAAGTTCAGAAAAGCAGCACATATAAGAACTTTTATGTATTTATTGGCAGGAATACCCATAAAGAGAGAAGTAGAGTGATTTATCAAAAAGAAAAAAAAAAAAAGAAGAAGAGGAAAATAATTGATACACCCTTTTATTCAACATATTTACCAACGCTTGTTGATTTACTAATTAAAATTTACACTTGAAAATTTTTCTATTTTGAATTCAAATTTAAAAATAATAATTTCTTAATAAATGTATTACAGAGTGTTTTAAACTAAAAGGTTTACCAATTATTATATATAAAAAAAAAAAGGTGGTGGGAAAAGAGAGAAATAAGCCCTAGACAGAGCCTTAACCTACCAAAAAAATTGTCATGTTTATTCACCATATTCTTGTTAAGAACTCCCACCTAACATCTTTGACCGCCTTCCCTTCGCACCACGATCCGAACCTACCACTTAATCATCATGCCTCACTCATGAAAAAATTGAAAAAGAAAAGAATTTCTCAAGCATGCATATCCACTTTCAGTCCTTCGTTCTTACCTTCATTTCATATCAACAAGGTATATA